TTTCTCGGTAATTAGGACAACATTTATTACCTCAATACTCAAAATAGAACCATTTGAAAAAAAGAGACTATTGTTAAACTTAATAACTTGATTTAAATAGGAGCATCCCTCTTGAAAATAAAGTTCAGCATTAAATATTGTATTGTTCATAAAGGTTATGAGAACAAATACTTTTACTTCATTAAATGTTCCTTTGTTCCGTTCAACTGCCAAGTCAATGAATCTTTCACCTGACTTAATTAACAATGTCACATATGAAAGTTTAAATACTCCAAAAGGATCATCGTTTTCACTAAAACAATAATCACATCATACATAATAATAATCACATCATAATCACATAACACATAATAATAATCCCATCATAATCACATAACAAACTGTAAACCTTATGCAAAAAATAAAAAAAAAAAAAAAAAAAAAATTAAAATCTTGATAATCAGTCATTGTTGACATTTATCTAAAACCTTAGCTTGTCAGGAATAAACCAATAATCAATAACTGCCAAAGTTTTATGTTCAATGATTATTGATTTGATTGACCAATTTAATTGATTACAACAACCTTACACAGTTGCCCACACAGTTTGTCAAATCATTTTGACAAATAATTTGTTGATAAATAATCAACAAGTTTAGACAGATCAATAACCAAAATGTGATGACAAAAAAATGTGTTGAAAATTGATCAATAATTAATTGGTAAGACTCGTCAATAAAATCTTAGCAAAAAATTATAATTTAATTTTATGCCAATTATAATTTAATTTAATGCCAATAATAGAAAGCAACAATTAGAGCTAATATAAACATTAAACAAAATCAGTTAATAAAAGTATGAAAAACAATGAAATTATTATCATTTAGTTTCTGATTATGTGTGTACAGTTTTCAACAAAAAAAAAAAAAAACAAAGCAAAATATTCCATTTTTTTCAAATATAAATAAGTAACTGATGCAACCTGAAGTAAAAATGTAACCATATATTCTATATATGCAAATTATTATATTGATTTCTGTTCAACTTTTTTCTCAATCCGATTGTTTCATATCAATTCATAATTATTTTAATAATATAAATGTTATTATAACAATTTCCTCTAAAAGAAGTAAATATATCCTTTTTGACATACAGAAATGGATTGAAAAGCAGTAAAAAAGTAAAAAAGTAAAAAGGCAAATAATAGGTATGAAAGAAATAATAGATAAGAAAGCTTATTATAACAGAAAATATGTCATCGAAAACTGAGAAATACCAATAGCTCTGTTACTAAAAACAGAGATATAGTAACTTACCTGTTTTCAGTAACAACAAGTTTTTAAAAGCAATACTTTTAATTAAAGCAAGTAATTAAAAGTAAGCGTATAATTAAAAGTGATGAAAGCAAATTTGAAGAAATAAATAAATAAAATAAGAAAAGTTAAAAACTAAAAAGTATAGTGTTTGATTGGTTGTAAGATGGTATGCAAGATGACAATGGAAGTGTTAATATTTAAAGCTTCACTTTTAATGGAGGGGTACATAACTCTAACTAGAGAACTTCAAAGGTTTATTCAGTAGACATTCTGACTGATTAAAATGAAAGGTGGCAGTTTCAACAACCGAAGCCCACACATTTTGAACAGTCAAAAGATGGATGAAAAAAAAACAAAGTAAATTTATTGCATTAGTCAAGCTTGATCACCAAATTTGAATCCAATCAAATTTTTTGTGTTTAAATAGATAAAGAGTTAGTAAAAAATCTGAATAAGATCCTTATATTGCCTAAAGCAAAAACTAGATACCATTTAATAAAACGAAACAAAACTTGGAACAATCTTGTTAAATCAATGCAAAAAAGATGTGTAGCTAGCAAAAAACATTAGAAAACAGTTTCGCGGGTTACTCATTTTCCTACACTTTTGATTGGTTATCATATTTCGAATGAGGTATCTATGACAGCGTTAGAGTTTATTTAAGGGTATTGTTTTGTTTATTAAAAAATTTTTTAATGAGGTATACTGCTTTCTGATTATCTTGGGCTTGTTTATGCTAATAATACCTATTTGGTTTTATTTCTTAAAATAAATTGATTAATATTTTTATGTTTCTATTAGAATTTTAATTTATTTTGTTTTCATGTTTTCTTTTGGTGGTACGGTAAGTGTTTTTATTTAGTTATTTTTATTTTTGTTTGTTCAGTAAATCTATACTTTTTATATCATATCATCAAAAGAAATATTGGTGCTTTACAAATTTGGGGTTGGTTGGGTTTTGGCTATTTGTAGTGAGTCCTTTTTTACTGCAGTATGGAATAGGCGTAAGTCGCGGGGTAAAGCATAAGTGGCAATGACGTTTGTCTGACGGGATAAACTAGTTATAAATGCTGATCCTCATCGAAACGCCAGTAATAATAGACGCGACTCTGAGGAGATGTTTATTACTTATCACTACACTAATTATGTTTACACATTAGCATTAATATTTTTTTTCCATTATTAGTCCTTTCATTGTTGTTAGCATATTTTTAATTTGTTGAATGGTTTTTTGTTTTACAAATTGTTGACTGGTTATGTATTTCTTGTATATTTTAGTTCATATTGGTATTTATAAAACAATTTTTTTATTTTTTATTTATATATATATATATATATATATTTTATTATTGTTTGTTTTTATTTTTTTTAATTTTTATTTTTATTATTTTTTTTTTTTATTGTTATTATGGTTGAGTACTGTTTTGGTTGTATAGCTTGTCTTACTTATTTTTAAATATTCCTCTATTAATCTTTATTTTTGTCTTGACAACTGTCAAAATATGCTTTGTCTAATAAATAATTCTCCTTTATTCTAATGTACTTCATTTCTTCCCTCAGGCGTTCACTGCTCGTGTGTGACCATTCGGCGAATTTTATATGCCAAAGTTTTTAAATACCATTTAATAAAACGAAACAAAATTTGGAACAATCTTGTTAAATCAATGCAAAAAAGATGTGTAGCTAGCAAAAAACAATAACGATGTGTAGCTAGCAAGAAAAAACAATAACAATATGTAGCTAGAAAAAAAAAAACAATAACAATGTGTAGCTAACAAAAAAAAAAAAAAATGCTTAGCTAGAAAAAAAACTACTTTAGAGTTATTTTAAATACTTGTTTAAATGTTTATTTTTGTTTCGCTATTTTTTCATTATATCACATTTTTTTATCAAGAATTTATGTAATTATGTTTGATAAAGTTTTTATAGAATTTTTAAAGAATTTGATAGTTATGAAACTTTAATAAGCTTTATGTAACGCAATTTTAATTTGCTGATTTTTTTGAAAACACTATGTATTCCATCTCATTAGAAATTTTACAAAAAATGACTACTGCATTTTTAGAGAGTTGTGTCCTAAAGTTGAAATGCAAAATTGATGCCCAAAAAATTAAAAATTTACACACTACTGTTTTCATTTGTTGCAAAAACAAATAACAACACAGCAACACAATTAAACAAAACAAATGAAAAATTAAAAACTCACACTATGTATTTATGTACAATATTATTTTTATTGTTATGTTAAATTTATTTATTTTACTTTTTATTTATTTATTTTACATTAAATAATGATCAATACAAAGAATAAAAAACATGTTAGGACTCACTAAAAGTTGGGATTTTTTTAAAGTACATATTTATTTAATAGTTTATAGAAGCCATTTATTATTCTATGAAAAGGTATAAAGTTAACTTAAAAGTTAAAGAAAAAATAAATCAAAATAATAATTACATACAGAATCACTAATTCCAACACACTAGCATTTTTTTGAATTTCTCCAAAATTAGTTGCGGATAACAACATTAGATAAAATGTCTCATTTATTTCTGGTATGTGATCAGATGTTATGTTTATATAAATAAATTTAGAACTCTCTCCATTTAAAAACTTTAATGAACTAGAATTGAATGTAAAATCATCAAAGCTGCTTCCATTAGAGACTGGAACTATTGACCATGACACCTAAAAGTTAAATTGTTACTATTATTATTGAAATAACTCTTAGACATAATATTATGAAACCTGAAGTTAAACATGAACAAAAAATAACAAATACAAAGTAATAAAAAAAAACAATATAAGAATGAAAATTTAAGATAAATTAATAAATATAAAATCATATAAAAGGTTTATAAATTTATTTCTTATTAAAGCTATATTCTGTCAAACCAAAAAAAGTTTTGTTGGAAAAAATCTCAAAAAATTTTTAATTAATAACAATATTTATTAAATTTATAATTTTATAGATTTATTTTTTATATTCAAAAATCTTTTTACTACAATGACAAATCACACCCAACCACAAAAAAACTACACCCATCCACAAACAAATTTCAACCAACTGCAGACAATTCACACCCAACTACAGGTAAATTACACCCAAACACAGATAGGGTATAATTTGGTTATATGCAGGTAAATATAATATTTCTGCATAAGGACACTTGCTTGCAGACTTTACCAGATTTTATTTGTTGATGTCAATAAGTTGGTTATAATTTTTAATTTTTTTGCCTTTTTTGTTTGTGGAAAAACTAATCTAGCCTTGATCATCATATTGGCCATCTACAAACCCTTTTGCTAGAAGTATGATTCATCTCTTGCTAGAAGTATGATTCATCTCTTGCTAGAAGTATGATCCATCTCTTGCTAGAAGTATGATTCATCTCTTGCTAGAAGTATGATTCATCTCTTGCTAGAAGTATGATCCATCTCTTGCTAGAAGTATGATTCATCTCTTGCTAGAAGTATGATTCATCTCTTGCTAGAAGTATGATTCATCTCTTGCTAGATTCAGATTAAGCTATCTCTTGAGAAGGGCGAATGATTTACTTTAACTGTTGGATACGTTTGTTGTTGTTTTTTTTTTTTTTTTTGAGATACTGGTGTTGTCTATTTTCCTAATATCAAAATGTTATTTTTATAACAATAATAACTAAGAAATAAATAATAACTTAATAGAGTTAACTAGTAGATGTAACGACTAGTTACATCTACTAGCTAACTATTTAAGTCAATAGAGTTAATAACTTAATAGAGTTAACTAGTCAGCTAGTTAAGTTTATTAGATTTAACTAATAGAAATTTAATGTAGCTACTAGATCTAATTTAAATATAATATTATTATGTATAGCGCACATAAATATATTTTGTAAACAAACTTATTTGTTCATCTTTTACATATAAATAACAGAACTTTATTTCAAATTTTTTTGAAATCATTTAAACTACTAACCATACACTTTTAATAAATCATTTTTTTCCTATTGAAGGGTGTCCACACTATTTTTTTCATTTAACTATATTTATAATTTTAATGCAACAAGTTAGTCCGTGCAAATAAGATAAAATAGCAAATTTTATTTAGCCTTCTAATTTGCTTTATTTAGTTGTTTTTGGCTCAAGCAGCAAATAAACATGATTGTTAGCAATAATAAAAAAATAACAGAAAAATAAATGCATACCTCAACCACATCTGTTAATCCTAATTCCCTCACCACTTTAATCTTAACAATATTGAAACCAGTTGTTGGTTCTTTAACTTCCATCAATGTTTGTATGAAAGAAAACAAACCATTAGGGTAACCCTTTTTTTTAACAACAATAATCAAAGAATCAGCTGTAGATTGAATTTTCCCTCCACCTGATATGTTCACCAAACGTAATACAAACTGTTCTTCAAGTTCATGATCGTCTTAAATATAAACAAAAACATTTTCTATATATTGATAACCCGTAAGTACAAGTAAAACATTTTAAAACCTTATAATTCATTTTATTAATCACTAAAGTGTTTATTTTTAATTTAGTAATCCATTACTGAATCAATAGATATTCTTTACCATTGTATATGCATAAAGAAATGGTATTCCAAAGTTGTTTTAAAACTTGCACTTGCATTTTTATGGTAAAGTATCTTTTTAAAATGTTGAGAAGACTGCAAAGGTTTATCAACAGCATCTAATGATTATCCTAAAGTTATAACAATAGATAAACTAAAACGAATGAATCAGGTTTTCCAGAGTGAAAATACAAATGAAGCATTTAAAAGTTTTCACCATTTAAGATTTGTTTTTTAATTCTCATTGAAATACATTTACAACCTATAAAAAACAGGGCATCATGAAAAGAACCAGCACAAATATTACAACAGTATCCATATAAGAACAAATTTGAGATTCAAAGAGTCAGAGAATTAAGTTAAGAGCAACAAAAGCACAATTAAGAGAGATTTAAACTTTGTTATGGATCAGATATATGATTTCTAAAGAAGGTCAATAGTGAAAGATATGAATAAAGATAAAGAGTAAAATACTCTAGAAGAGTGTTGCCATTATTCAGAAATATCAACAATATTACAATAGAAATTTTATATAGCAATACTGTTAAACACAATAAACACATTTAAGAATGGCTACTATTTTAACCAATCAAAAAGTATTGCAAAGACCAAACATATATATGTCATCAATAGAGCCAGTTAAAGGTAAAATTACCAGGGTTATTATAAATAAAGGTGAAAAGCAACACAGAGTCAAGAATTGACCATGTCCTTTCTCTTTACCTCTCTGCCAATATTGTTGTTATTAGTGACTTTAATGCTCATTGCACTGAATGGCTTGGCTCTAATGCCACTGAATCTGCGGGCACTAAAATCCATAACTTCTGATTTCTCAATCTCTTACTCAGATAGTTTACTTTGTGACTCGTTTTCCTGACAACCTCAATCACTTATCTTCACTTCTTGATTTATGTCTTGCCTCTAACCTAACTTGTGTTCAGTTTCTCCTTTTTTTACTTTTAAGTGCCTCTGACTATGCAATGATCTCCATAAATCTTTGATTCAGTGATCTCCATAAATCTTTGATGATGGTGCAAATCTGATATAGCAATGATCTCCATAAATCTTTGATGATGGTGCAAATCTGATATAGCAATGATCTCCATAAATCTTTGATTCAGATGGTGCAAATCTGATATAAAAGAAGTATGATAAAATTTTTAGCAAGAACATAGCATGGTCTGAACCACATAAAGAAAAAAAAGGCAGTTAGGTTGGCATACGGCAATGCCAACCTAACAGAGGACCTTTAAGTGTTTGAGGTCAGCAATTTTTGGCGACCTTGTTTCTATGTTTTGTGGTAACCCCTTTGTGTCAAACTTTTTTTGCCGACCTAATGCCGACCTCTAACAGTTTGAGGTCGGCAATTTATTGCTAATTTTTCCTAATTCCGAGGGTTGATACAGTATTGAAAGTTTTTATTCTTGAACAAGATATAAAAAATATATATATTTTTAAATATTATCAAGTATGGCAGCCACAATTCACAAATTTTGTAAAAAATATAGTCAGAATAGTAATTTAACTATTGCCTGTGAAAAAAGAAATTAAAAACTTCAATGACACAAGAAGTAAAGCTTAGTGACAATGTACAGAAAAGAAAGTTCATAAAATCAATAAATAGATGATAATTAAAAAATATATATATAACAATGGCATCTCTAAACATTGGCCCATATGTTGACCTAAAGAAATAAAAATTTAAAGTCGTGTTGTTTTAAAACAATGTCACATGTCATAAGGCCATTGAAATAATTCAAGTAGTGCATAAGATATTTCTAGGTTTGAAACTTCTTTGTTTTAGTGATTAGAATCAGCCCCTTAGACCATGTAATTTAAAATCATTTGATTTCTTTTTATGAGAAGTAAAAATGCTCATAACCATACATTGAGATTTAATGCAGCATAAACAAAAAATTTATGAAAAATGATCATGAAAAATTGAAAAAATCTAACACTAAAACCCACACAGACTATTTGCTCTATACGCTATTCCATACATGTACATTATATGTACATTATAATTTGATCAAAATAATTTAAAAAAATAACTGTTTTTCATTCAGCTAGCATTTTAGGCAATTTATCTACATCATTGTTGCTTTGACTAATTTTCCCAAACTTTTATATATATTTAAACTAAATTTAAATAAATATAAAATTTTTTCCTGATTCATAATCTTAAGAACTTAAATAAAAATGAAACATTTACCAAGATGAGGCAAAATTGAAATTTTCAGCTCTTTAGTTCCACTTTGTTTATCCTCAAACACTACAAAACCTCTGTCAGGTGAAACATCTTCTAACACAGGAGATTGATCTACATTTTCAACCATCCATTCAACCTAAAACATTAACAAAATGAAACAATCAATTAACTTATTAGCATTGAAAGTATTGTTAATGCTGGTTTAACATATTTATCAGTTTTTTGCTATAAACTGCAAGTTTTAAAGACGCAAGTCCCACTCAACTTTTTATAGCCCAATGTTAACCTGACACTTTAATGCCTGTTACAAAAAAAATTAAAACAATTATTCTTGTTGTTAAATGTTTTATGCATGTGATTATTTTTAAATTATCAGATTTTAAAAATCCTAACTATTGCCAAGGAAATATTTGACAGGCAATTTGGCCAAAATTTTAACCAGACATCCATGAGTTACTTAGGTAAGTGCATTTTAAAGCTCAAAGCATTAACTTTAAAGAAAAAGGGGTAAAATAGGCATTTTAAAAATTGAGGTAAGGCGTCTCGGATACTTTTGCCTGATAGTGAACTTTCCTTAAATTTTATAAATGTTTATGAAGTAAAAACAAGTTTTGCCAATCTACATTAAATAGTGTTCAAGACTTAAAAAAATAAAATCAATAAAAAACTGGTACAACACAGATATATGCATTAATAAATAAAATAAAAAAATTGTTTTTTATATCAAATTTTTTTTAAATTATTTTTTATACTTTTTCAGCAAATATACCATGTCATACAGTTTTTTACTGATTTTTAAAGTAAGAGCTTGAATACTATTTATTGCAGACTGGCAAGAATTTTTTTTCTTCATAAACACATAAAAATATCCAAGACACCTCAAGTAATATGGCCATTTATTGAATTGGTTTGATTTATCAATTTTTTTAATTTAACAGTTGCAATATGCCATGTACTCAATGGTTCTGGTTTTCTTTGGTTGTTTTGCCATAAAAATTTTTTACCCTTAAAAAAAACCTTTTTTGAATTTAGGTGACAATTTTTCGCTTATTAGAATACTTATCGAATGCATTATTGCTTCTTAGAATTTGCATAAACTCTTTTAACATCAACTCACCATGACTTATTGAATGACCAAGCTTTGTGCAACTTAAAGCCTATCAACTATTAAATTTTCCTAATTCTTTGTCATTACAGTTTTTACTCTGGTTTTTTGCTTGGCATTGACTTTTAAATGCCTTTTTAAAGTAGTCTCGGGTATATAGTTAGCCTTGGGTATCTTTTGAATGCCTAATTTTAAAGCCTTAATAGAACATTTTGTAAGACTTTTTTAAACTGTATTAGTTTTAGTACTTTCCATTTTATTTTCTACCATTTAAAAGAAAAAACTTAAAATTGTGTGTAATTTTAAGAAGCATATACTTCATTTTACTAGGGATGGGCTCATGCCAAATAGAATTATGAAAATGATATAAGAAGAATATATTAACTTTCTTATTTTAAATTTTATCTATTCACTTAAAAACAATTTTTTAAAAAGTAATAAATACAGCCACATAATAGATACAGCCATTTAATAAATCATTTACCCTAAATTTTGCTGTTGTTTTTATGTATTTATTTTATTTATCTATTGTTTAAAACAAAATCAACTTACTACAACTTTTCCTGCTATCCCATCTATTCTTGATAAATTAAAACACAACACAGTAACTTGTGATGGATTTTGTACATAAACAGTTTTTTGTAAATTGTAAAAACCAAATAGCCCATTTGGGTTATCACTTGATTCAATCACTACAAGAAGTTTGTCTTGATGACCTATTTTAGAAAAACCAACCACAGACAATAGCCTAATCTCAAATGCCTCCTGATCTTCTGGTTCATCATCATCAACTAACCACACCTCAATAAAAGATGAGTTTTGATTTTCATGAAACTGTAATATTGAGGAATTTATAAAAAAATCTAAATTTTCAGTAGCATTTAATGGCAAGTAGGTAAAACTAAGATTTGAGCCAGTAAACAAGCCAGCTCTTCTTACAACTGGTATTTTAACATGGTCACACTCACGCACAACAATTTTGTTAACAGGAAACTCTAAAACTCCATATGGATCATCATTTGCATTGATTTGAAAAGTTTGGCAGCAGCCAGTTATCAATGGTGGTATATTTAACTTATATCCTAGTACAACTTCATTGAAATTTATAAAGTGATCTAGTTCAGCGTATGTCAAATTAACCATAAACATTTCATCAAGTTCAGGAATAACATCATCATAGATAGTAATTTGGATGACCTCCGCTGTATCATGAGGTTGGAAAAATAAAACTAAAAAGTTTTAAAATTTGAAAATATTAACAATAAATAATCAACATTAAATTAATACATTATAAAAAAAAAAATTAATAAATGTAATTTAATTAAACAATCAATTTATAAAATTTTTGAAGAAAAAGAAGGGGAAAATCTTTTTGACAAAGCTTTTCCTCAGCCTTGCAATGGCTGACTGTAGACCAAAATAAGTAACTGCTAGCAAAAATAGGTAAACCTGGCTAATTATTCATAATTTTTAAATTTATAAATTACTATTTTTGTCAGCCTTAAATAATCTCTAATATTTGTAAAATTATTGAAGAAGTTTTGAAGAGGAAAAAGAAGAAAACAAACATTTTTTTTTAGTTGACTTTAAAAAGCACCTATTTAATATGACAAAAAAACCTGAGTTTCTGTTTATACCAGCTCAAACTTTTTATCATCTTGATTAGCTGCAACAATATTTATAAGCTGCATAGTTGCAACAGTATTTATTCGTGGCAACAAGGTCAACGTGCGCACAGTGGCTGACAACTTAAAAAAATTCAAATATTTTTTAAACTCTACTAGATTAGCTCAGACAATTTCAGCTTTACAAAGGACACTTTTTTGTTTCATTAACCAAGAGCTTTCAAAGTAACATTTACCAAAGACTAAATTTTTGTACTGTTAAATAAATGGTGGCAGGTTTATGGTTGAACAATGTTTTATGTAGAGAAAGAGAAAGTTCTAAAAATAAAAAACTTTGACAAAAAGAGATTATTATAAAAAAGAAAAATAATTACAATAACAATAAAAAAAAGATCAATATTACACTAAATGATATCTAAATGATAGCAACCATGACTAAATTTTCAGAGAATTAGTTGAAAATATTAACTTTAGAGGACTAATGCTGAATCTCATGAATTGCTGGGTCTATTGCGAAAAAGTGAATAAAAAGTTTGAAGAATGTTACAAAAATTTTTGATTTTCATTATATGAAAATATAACTGGCTCAATGATAGTTTTGCATACATTGAGTTTTTGATAATAACAATTGGTCAAAAAGCAACTTAATTTGCAGCATTTGTGTTGCACCCATTTAAGATTTGTTATTTTAAGACACCAAAATAATTTTAACACCCAACACCCTGAATTAAAAGTCTTATTTAACACACTATTTTTAAAAACTTTGACTTTAAAAATATTTAAAAATTAATAACGCCAAAGTACATAAAAAAATATTTATGCACTTTGGTTTTTTCTAAAAAAAAAAGTACAAAAAATATTTTTTTACATTGCAGTGGTCCAGAAAACCATTTTTGAAGCTAACACTTTTGGTGAATATTCATTACACCCTCGCCAATTATAACTATTATTGTAATGTCCCTCACAATGCCTTTGGCATAACAACAATGACATGAAATCAAGGACAAATGACAAAATAACTAATGGATGTGTAACACATGTGTAATTTCATGATTAATTTTCAATATTCTATTGATTATAAATAGCCACCAACATGTATGACACACTTTTGTTTGATTGATAAATATACATGTGCAGAAAAATCAAGAACACCTAACAAAACATTTGACACTTATTTTTCATATACTTATTTCAACAGACATATTTTTCTTAAAACCTTTTTACCTAAATAATCTCAGGACATATGGTACATCTATGACATTTTGCTACTTGTTTATGCTGTATAAACATGTAAAAAAGCACACTAAGAACAACACCAACAACACAAAGTAACAATAACACACAACCTAAGACATGTTGAATATCAATTATTTAAAATACTTTATTATTATTTTCATAGTAAATTAATAGTAAATTTAAGAATATATTCATAGTAAATTTATAAATTTTATTGTAAAGCATAAGCATATTCTAAAATAACACACCAAGGACACATTGCATGACATGTTTTTTTACAATAATATCTATTTTTGGACCAATATGTAGAAACCTATTTATACAACACACATTTGATTTGAATGCCTATACATATTTATACATATTATATATAAAGATACATTTTTTAGCGCATATACTTGCTCAGCAAGAATAGTCAATAAGAAAATGTGTGTGAAATATAGGTTTTACACCAAGATTTTAAAGAACAATAATTTTTTAGAATATTTATATATAAAAATATTTTCAAAAATATCAATATTTATATACATAAAACATTTTACTAAAATTATCTTTTAATATAATTTAAAAGGATTTAATAGTTAAAAATAAGGTCAAAATAGCAATCAAACATATGACCAATCATATGACATGATTGGACACATGTTTAATTGCTAAAAACATGTGACACATCTTAATAAAAAAAAAAGTACATTTTTTTTATAACCTGTTTTATATATTGTAAGTATGTGGGTTTTAAGAAATTCCTCCTAATAAAGTAAATCTATTTAGTACTCATACAATCAATACAACAATAATTTAAATATGAAAAATATAATACTATTAAAAAAATTACAAGAAAAGGTCAAAATATTCTTCTGGAAAAGCAAGCTCCTTCATTTATTTCAAACTTCATCTCATAGAAGTGTAGAAAGGATCTAAGCAGAGCAATTTTCTTAATACATCCTCATTTGTAAGCTTCTAAAAAATTTACTTGTAAAATGTTATTGAAAATTTTTAACATGTTGATATCTGCTCTCCTGAAGAACCATCTTTATTTTTGGTCAATCCAAAGAAGCTCTACTGAGCTTTTTCAAATAGGAAGTTGGAACCAAATTGTCATGTCCAAATAAGAGGTCAGAACTGAAATGTCTATTTTTGGTCTCCAAAGAAGCTCTCCTAAGCTTCTTCAAATAGTAGGTTGGAACCAAGTTGTCTCCTCCAAATAGGTGGTTGGAACCGAATTGTCAATTTTTGGCCTCTTAAGCTATAAAAAGATTCTTCAAATAGGTTATAACCAAATTGTCTCTTGCAACCTGGTGTGAGTGAACAACAATGTTGTGAACTCCAGCAGGCATTGGTTACTATTAAAAATGTAATACATGTCTTAAATGTATTTTTGCAATATACTTATAGTTAATCTCAATTAATTGGGTCACCATAGTAACTAACAAATTAATTAATTAATTAACAGAACAAGACACAAAAGATAATGTAGAATCTTTCAACTGTAAGAAATTTTTTTTTACAAGTTTACATTTATTACCTCTAAGTACTTTAGAAAATTTTTTGTGGCTTTTAAATGCCATACTTACTGAGTTTCAATCATTGGATGTACCAGAGCCACCACATGGAATATCTTGGAGCATCAAAAACAAGTCTATTTTTTTTTTTTACTTTCTACATGCAACTGATTATTTTTTTCAGCTGTACATGCAAAATCCAGAACCTTTATATTCTGGTCTTCTTCTTCAAAAAGCATAAGATAGAAATATAGAAAGAAAGCGTGGATTCCTAGGTCCAAATACATATGATTGGGATGTCTACTTTAGGCAACTTCAAAGTTATCTATTATTTGGATTTAATAAACAAATATTAAATACTTGATAAGAATTACTTAATGGAGAAAAAAGAGTAAAATATTTACCATTCTAACTAGTGCTTGACATGAAATGAGTCTATGGTTGTTGATCTAAGCTTAATTGACCCAAAAGAAATCAAATTCTGCATAAATAATTTGCTGATTTCCTTAACATATTTTATGCAAACGGAGAGGTAATATTGGATTAAGGATGATTCGGGGTTAGTCCATGGAATCTTTATAAACAGACTGTCTAGTTGAACCATCAAATCTGACTTTGCTAAGAAGAAAAGTATAATAAGACTCAAGCAATTTTATTTTATACATGATTTTCCAAATCATGTTTGCAGGGTAAACCATTATTCCTTGAAGATTTACTGAACCACTGTAGTTTGAGGTTACTATTCCAGAATCTTAAATGCAATCATTTTTAGCTTTAACAAAATAATTATAGGCAGGGTATAACATGCAACATGTTGTTATCTAAGGCTCTGCAATAAACAGTTTGATAGTTTGATATACTGTTGATTAAGTCCTATTTATTCAACATTATAAGATTAGAGCTAAAGTTTCTTCTCCTGAGCACATAATTCATCAAGTCGGGAATCTTTTTTTTTTTTTTAATCATTCTTTGTTGAGAATAACAACAAGTGCCTTTAGTGATCAACTTCTAATCTTTAGTGATCAACTCCTAATCTATAGTGATCAACTCCTAATCTTTAGTGATCAACTCCTAATCTTTAGTGATCAACTCCTAACCTTTAGTGATCAACTCCTAATCTTTAGTGATCAACTCCTAATCTTTCTGATCATCTTATTTTCTTAAATCTTGAGAAATCTTTAAATGATTTTGATAGTGCAAATTTTGATGGACCTTGTTGTAAACTTTTATTTGATTTTGTTGTTGAGGTTTATTTACAATAAATTATGTATATAAAATTTCTCATAACAAATTATAAAATTCGTTTTTTGTCTACTTATATCATCTTGTTTCTTTGTAAGTCTTTTATAAATTTTTAATAAATCAATCGGACTGTGGAGAATTAGGATTGTGCTTGAGATAGTATTGAGAAATCAAGATAGTAATTTTAATTTTTGATTCCTCACTAATTTAAACTCACATGCTTATTTTGATACTTTCTTTTAAACAAGTAATTAAAAATATTTTTGTTCTTCACATTAAAATATTTTCTATATTTCGTGTTGATCTTCTCTATACATCATGTTGATCTTCTCTATATTTCGTGTTGATCTTCTCTATACATCATGTTGATCTTCTCTATATTTCGTGTTGATCTTCTCTATACATCATGTTGATCTTTTCTATATTTCGTGTTGATCTTCTCTATACATCATGTTGATCTTCTCTATATTTCGTGTTGATCTTCTCTATACATCATGTTGATCTTCTCTATATTTCGTGTTGATCTTCTCTATACATCATGTTGATCTTCTCTATATTTCGTGTTGATCTTCTCTATACATCATGTTGATCTTCTCTATATTTCGTGTTGATCTTCTCTATACATCATGTTGATCTTCTCTATATTTCGTGTTGATCTTCTCTATATTTCATGTTGATCTTCTCTATATTTCCTATTGATCTTCTTTATATTTCATGTTGATCTTCTCTATATTTCGTGTTGATCTTCTCTATACATCATGTTGATCTTCTCTATATTTCATGTTGATCTTCTCTATATTTCGTGTTGATCTTCTCTATATTTCCTGTTGATCTTCTCTTTTTTTTTCTTCAGAGTTTTAAAAAGATTAGACTAAGATTCAGAAGTTTAAAAAGTTTATAAAATGATTTTTGCGGGTAAAAGATTTTTTTTAAGATTTTAAACTTCAAAGTCTTCTTAGATAACATTCAAAAAATTTAAAGACCTTAAAAATTCTAGTCTTGCTCAGCATATAATATCACAAAAATAATTCTTTCATATTTTATATCATGTAATATAATATCCTGAAAATGATTCTTTCATAATAACTGTGTATAAATAAACCTTACTTAAAACACATTTTCAAATGGTTTTAAGTAAAAGGTAAATAAAAATGACAATAGGAAAATAGCTAGAAAAAAAAAAGCAATAGCAATAAAGATTAATGTAAATATAGTAAATATATACTAAATATAATCTTAATAAAAAAAAAATATAAAAGAAAAACAACTTTTAGTTTATTTTCTTATCACTAAAATATATTTTAAACAAAAAAGTTTACAAGTAAGTTTATTACCTCCAGATTTTGGACTGTAATCTTCTCCGTGTATTGCACTTAAGCTAATAAGTTGATAACCAATATGGACACCTCCTATAAGTCCAGCAGATCTTAACACTGGAATATTGATTACTCCAACATTCTCCTCTACGTTCCATTGAACATTGGCAAATGCAAACAAACCATAGGGATTATCACTAGCAGCAACAAAAACATAAGAAATACTTGAATTTAAATCAGTTGAAAGCTCAGCTCCATCTGTAGGATTATAGAGTACTAATTCAAACATTTGCGCCTCTTCAGGTATGTCATCATCAAGGATCTAGCATAAATATTCCATTGAAAAAATTTAACAACTGAAAAATATTTTAACTACTACATTAAATTACATATGTCCAGATACAAAAAGTTATAGAAGTAGACTTGTAAAAATTTTTAAATTACTGAAAAAAGACATTTTAAATTAATAACCTAATTAATAAACCGGACCAGAATCTCCAGTTATCATGCGTGTATTTACTACATCTATTCATAAATGTCAAAGTAAAAATCAATTTTACTGATGCTTCATTATATATTAGATTTACTAAATTCTGAAATCATTTACCTCTAATGTAATTATCTTTTCCACTTCTCCTTTTTTGAAAGTAAGTGTCCCAAATGTTTCTTTAAATGTTTCTTTGCCTTTAGACTGTGATGAGGAATTAAATTTCCAAGATAATGTACTTAAGGTTGCTTGTCCAATTTCACGCAGAACACTGAAAACAAATTAAACAACAATTATAAACAAAAATTTTTATTTTATATCACAGTAGCATACATCTTATACCACAAAAAGCATCTGAAAATCAAAACAGCAAACTGTTAGCTGTTCTTTGATGGCTGAATCCTTGAGCCAACCTTATGTTTAGAATGCCATTACAATTAGCATCTTGGAATGACTCATAAAAATGCTTATTTTTTATTGAGAAACAAGAAAAATAACTAATTATGTAATTTATTCCAGTTTTTTAGTCAATTATTTAGCAACTTTTAAGCCACAATATTCATTTAAAATTACAAATGAAAAAGTTATATATAATACAAATATCAAAATTTTAAAATAAGAAATTAAAATCATCAGTATATATGTAGAGTTTTTTAGACAGTTAAGCAACAAGTTTTTTTAAATTTTACTGACTTATAAATTTCTTCTTTTTTTTCCTTTATATGCTAATTATCATTTGTTATTGTTATTCAAAAAAAAAACACAAGATAAATAAAAAGTTTGACATAAGTAGATCTAAAAGACAGTGGTCAGCTAGCAACGCGCAAAAAAGCTTTTTTCTAATCTAAATTTTGAATTAATTTATTCTTAAATTATTATTTATACTTTCATAAATCTTTTTTTTCTTAATTAACAATTATTTTGTCTAAGTTTTATTTATAAAACTTTTTAAATATAATAATAAGTCAGAAAAAAGTTTTTTAAAAACCAAGTCAGCTACGCAGCTACACAACATGCTAATTTTTATTATAATTTAGATTAAAACATAAAACAAATTTCATACTGTAAATATAGCTTTTATTTAAAAATGATAAAAACTATTTCTACAGTTTATAAAGGTCATTTTTAAGATACCTGGTCACTTCTGAACTGTTTAGACACTAAATGTAAATTTATAAGTTTTTGTTTTCTTAAAAAAGGTGCTCAAACCAAGAGAGTTGTTTATTTCTAGCTTTTCTTTTTCATTCAGTAATATAATAGTAATTTTTAAATTGTTTGTAGCAATTGCTAAGTTGCTAGCACAAAAAATTATATATTTTTCTGTTAAAACATTTTTTCTGGCAACATGTTTTACAGTGATTTCTATTTTTATATGTGCCAAACTGCACATATAAAAATAAAAATATGATTTGAACTGCTTGCATTTCGTTTTGGAAAAAAAAAAATTTTTTTCTGCCCAGTCAACTTAAATTACAGCTTTATTTGAGTCTTTTTGAATCCCTGATTCTACATTTAATTTAAATATGGATGATTGACTGCTATTGACATTACTATGAATAATAAACTTTGCACCCATTTCTTTAATATGTGATAATAAAACTGCAATAAAAATGCAATTGTTCCTTCTTTGTTAACCTTTTCTATTTTAATATAAGATTTGTTTGAGTTTTCTGCTACTGATTTTATGAAACGTCTAAATCAAATTGTTCAAACTGAAATAATAATTTATCAAAAAGACTATAAGCAATACATTTCTTGCAAATGGCTTTGAAACATTGTTTTGTTGGTTTTTCACAAACAAATTTTAAAACACTGTTTCCCATTTTAATGGTAGAAAATAAATCTGAAACCCGCAAAAGTGCAAAATAAATCTGAAACCCGCATAATGCATGTTTTCCTGTAACATGCAAACACATATGTTATGAGGAATTGATGATACACATTAAATGTAAATTGGTCTTAAAAGACAAAACTTTGACAGACTTAATTGAATATCTGTATGGTTTAGTCTAAACTCTTCAAAAGCTTCTTTTAGCATATATAACATGTGTTGGAATTGAACACGCACCTTTTTTTCTCCTATCACTACAGAAGTATAATCTGTGGTTCTGGGGGAAAGTTGACTAATTTCATTATTTCAATAAAAAATTTTAATAACAACCAGTCTTTCTCTCTGAGATTGTTTGTTGATTTTTGAATTGAGTAAGTTAATGGTCGAGTTATATTGAGTAAGCAACACAAAAGTTTCTACTTATGAACAGGACTTTTAGGAAGAGAGAACCAATTTTTTCATATACTTTCCTTTAACTTGCACTTTTGCAAATGATGAGTGATTTGATTCTACAGATGAAGATATGTCTTTTTGATGCAGTAGAGATTTTCTCATTCTTTCTAAACTTTTTATTCTTTCAGCTGCAACTTTTCAAAAAAAAATTTTGACTTTATTGTCTTTGAAGTCTAGCATTTTCTTTAGCTTTGTATTTTTTTCGTCATGATTTCTACTCATGTAATTCCTTTGATTTAGTGCTTTCCTATTATTTATTTTGATGGCTGTAATAAAAAAAGTAAACTACAAATAATTTTAAAATACAAATGCAAATAAATTTTAAAATAATTTAAAAGTTATACAATGTTTACACAATGCACAACTTTTTTATTTTCATTAGATGCGCAAGCAACTGGGCTTTGGAATGATTCCATATTTTTAAATTGACTATATAGCTGTGTTTTGAAGTTTTAAATAATTTCTATTTATCATACAGTGGGATGCAAAAAAAAAGCCACACTAACTTTTTTTTTTTATATTTTAAGCATAAAATGTATAATGAAAATATAGTGGCAGTGAAAATATAGGGCAGAAAAGGTATGTTTATATATAAACTAATATTTATATAAATAAAATCTTTAAAAAACAGATTATTATGGACACATTTAATATTTTAGAAAACATCTTACAGATGTAGAAATTGGACAAATTATTGAAGCTGCTGACCAAGGAGAGTCTCACAGAAGCATTGTAAAGCATTTTAAACAAGAAAACTCGACTATTAGAAGATTGGTAAAAAAATATAAACACACTGGTAAAACTGAAAGAGCTGTTGGATCTGGGAGAAAACCGAAAACTTCAAAAAAGGAAGATCGCTACATTCTTAATGCTGTCAAAAAAATCGCAAAATCACTCGTTCTAAGATAAAACTAGATTTGAACCTTACTAATATCTCAAAGTGGACAATATCTGGCAGGATTAAAGCATCAAGTAATTTTTTTTCTGGAAAGCAAATTAAAAAACCTTTTGTTAGTGAAATCAATCGAAAAAAGCGTGTAAAGTGGTGCATTAAGCACAAAGATTGGACATGTGAACAATGAGCTAACGTTATCTGGAGCAATGAGTCTCCATTTGCTTTGTATTATAATGGTCGATCTCACTGTAGGAAATTAATTGGGGAAAAATTCAATCCTCAAACATGCAAGGCAACTAATAAACATAACAAAAAGATCAATGTCTGGGGTTGTTTTACTGCACACAAAGTTGGAAAATTTAGTGCACACAAAGTTGGAAAGTATAAAAGAACTTTTTTCCTAATGGTGACTATATCTTTCAACAGGATAATGACCCCGAACATAAAGCACGGTTGAATAAAAGATATCTAGAATCTAAATTGATTCCAGTTATGTCTTGGCCAGCACAGTCTCCTGATTTAAATCCAATAGAAAACCTTTGATCTATATTGGATATAAAATTGCAAGATTGTAGAGCAACAAATGAAGATGATCTGTTCCAAATTCTTCTTGATGGTTGGAATGCTATGCTAAATGACTTATTAAAAAGGCTTGTAGATAGTAGGCCTTCTAGATGTGCGGAAGTCATAAGAAACAAAGAATGGCCAATTAAATACTAAACAGATTTAACCTAAAAAATACTTTACAAATCCTAATTTCTTTTTATTATATGTAATATACAAATATATTATAAACATTTTTATCAATATTGGCTGTAATAGAAGTAACATTATATGAGTTTTAGACATTAGTTGTTGTTGTTTTTATAAAAAAATTGAGTGTGGCTTTTTTTTTGCACCCCACTATAAATGTTTTGAAGTTAAAAATATATTTTGTAAAACATTTTGTTGCATTGAAAAAAAACTTGCAGCATTTAACAATTTAGTTTCGGCAGTCAGCTACGCAACAAGAAGGTTACTGGATTTTTATAACTATTTGATGCCATTATTTTCTTATAACAACAAAACTTTAAAATGGCCAATTAGTTTAAGTAAATAGTTGACAAGGACTAAAAAAAATAAATTAAAATTGTTGGAAAAAACAATCTTTTCCTTTCCAGCATTCAGCTACGCAATGTGATTATTTAAGACACTAATTAGCTTATATTGCGCGAAATATATCAAATTTAAATGTTGATGCTTTTAAATACTAAACTAGCTTAGCAGTTGACCCATTTAAAACTAATTGCTAAAATTTTGGATTGCTACAAGGTATTAAAGAAAAAATGATAGTTAAGCACTTTTTCGTAAATCAAATTATACGCTTTTCCTCTCATTTTAAAATCTATAAATAGCTTGTTTTATTTGTTTTTTTAAGACATTTAAGAATATATACTAATTGTTAAAAAAAAGTTCCTAATTGTAATTTTTTTAAAAGAGATTTATTTTATTAACCGCGTAGAACTCTGCATATTAAGAAAAAAACTATGAACACAAAATATAAAAAGAAAAAAACTATGAACACAAAATATAAAAACTACAGATAGTTTTTTACATAACAATTTGGTACAAAGTTTTTAACATTTAACATTTTTTTTTTACATAAGTTTATCAAAAATAATACAAAAAACAACAAACATGTTTTCTTTATCTTTAAGAATCTTTAAGGAGAGAAACCTAATTAATAATAATAAATACCTAATATTAATTTTTCCTCCTATTCCATTACTTGGTTCAAAACCAATATGAACTCGAGACAATGGATTTACAATATAAATACCATATGGTTTGTCACTTGCTTTAATAATAAAAAAAATTTTACTAGAATTACTAAGCACTGCAGGATCTGAAACTGAAGTAATTTCACATAAAACTATTTGACTTAATTCTGGTATATCATCATCGATGACTACAAAACTAATGTTTTTTGAAGTTTCGCCCTGCAAAAAAAAAAAAAAAAATAGAATAAAATTAATGTCAAAATCAAAATGGCAACTAACAAAATAATAAATATAAACAAAACTAGAAAATATATAATTAAATTGATTTAAATTTACTTCTAAAAAATAAATAGTTCCTTCTTGCAATGATATCATTGTGTTAGTTCCATTACATTTCCATTTAATTTTTATATCTCCTATTATGCCATAGGCTCGAAAAACCAAAAGCATTACTTTATCACCTTCTTCTACTTCAATATTATGATCATGTTTTTTCAAACTTAAAAAAAAATGATTATAAACAGCTATTTTCTATATAAGATTTAACATTAAAAAGCGGTTTCAGTAAGATATAGTTGAATACAAGTAAGAGCTAACAAAAATAAAAAGCTGACAGCAAGGTAGGTTACAGCAAAATAAAGAGTTGATAGAAAGAAAGTAGAAAAATAAATAGAATTGATACATACATAAAGTCAAATTGGTAGTGATGGCATTTTCAGACTTCATAAAAATTTCATAAACATTTAATATTTATTACATACAGATTTTAGCTATTTATGACTTAACTTACCTAGATAAACCATTACTTAACTTACCTAAACAAACCATTACTAAACTTATCTGAATAAAATATTTCTTAACTTACCTAAACAAGCCATATGGATAATCATTTTCTTTTATTATTACAGAGCGATTGTTAATAGCACCAATTTTAGCTCCACCAAACGGCTTTGTTAAAACTATTGTAAAGTTTTCATCAAATTCTGGAATGTTATCATTCTCAACTTTTATTAGAATAAATCCACTTTTTTGATTGTCACCTAAACTTACTGTTCCGTATGCAGGTGTGATATCATAATTGCTAGCAGTGCCAAATACAACTTCAAAGTAAACACCAACCGATCCATTAAAACCAGCATTTCGTGAAACCATAACTTCTAAAGTACCAATATTTTCATCAGCTAATAATTCAAGTGAAGAACTAAATTCTATTATTCCATTTTGCTGAATTAACTCAGTAATTACAACCTGTGTAAGACTGGATAGAATACTTGCAGAAGTATGCTTATCAACCGTTAAATAAGCCTCAGTAATATTTACAAAAAAGACTTCATTATAATCATAAAGTCCATCCTAAATTCAATATAAAATAAATTTAAAAACATCAATTTACATACATACACACACACACACACTAACTCATGCACAAATATAAATACACACACACACACAACTTTTTAATGTTTGAATATTTAGTTAATATTAACTATACAATTATTGTTTCTTATATAATATTTAAAAAACTAGTTTTTTATTACAATATTCATAACGAAAAAAATACCTACAAAATTTTTGTAGCTACCAGTTAGTTAAAGGTAAAAGAATTAATTAATTATATGTTAGTTAATAGTAAAACAATTATTCACAATCAATTAGTAAACGGTGAAATAATTATTAAACTATGTTCTAACTAATCAAGTAAAAATTAATTAATATTAGTTAACAGTGGAAAAAATACTCAGTTAAGAGTTAGATAAAAGTAACACATTTATCTAGTTATCAGTTCTTGAACAATAATCTATATCAAAAGTTAACCATCTAAAAGATTTTTTTTTTTTTTTTTTAACATCTTCACTTCCAAAAAAGCTGCAAGCAAACACTATTAGAGTTAGAAATTACTGGAAGAGAAAAGATGAAGATTGTAGAGCAAGATAACGATTGACAGAGGACTTAAAAGATTGCAAATTATATGAATCAGGAAAGCAAGATGAAGGAAGGGAATTCCAAAAAACTGATGTTTGAGGAAAAAAACTAGAGGAATAAGAGTTTTTGGAGCATTTAAAAACAGTCACAGAAAAAGGATGAGACCTAACTGAATGATGAGTAACAAGAGAATGAATTTTAGTAGATGGTACAAGAGACGCTAGCTCTTTAGAGCAGTGCCCATTATAGTATTTGTAGAAAGGAAAAAGAGAAGCAACATTACGATGATGTGATAATGGTTGGAGGTTGGCTGCAAGAGCAGGTCCAACTATGTTTACAATGCCTTTTTGCACCTTTGTCTAAAAGAGAAAGGGCGTAATTAGTAGATCCGCCCTAGATATAACAACAGTACTCCATACAAGAACGGATTTGAGATTTATAAAGATAGAGAATAGAATCCGGTGTAAAAAAGTGTTGAACTCAATAAAGAGATGCAACATTAGCAGATGCTAATTTTGCTACAGATTTGATATATGGTATCCAATAAAGATTGGAAGTAAGAGTTCTATCTTAGAAGATGAAGGGTAGATGACTCATCGAGTACATTACTGTTCATAAATATAGAAAGATCTAAATTATTGCGATAATGATTGGCTGAATAAAATTGAGTTTTATCTGAACTAAAGTTCACCAGTCACTGTGAAAACTATGAGCAGTAGCAGAAGTGAGATCCTTTTCAAGCTCTGTCTCCTCCAAGCAACCAGAGAGTGTTGGCTTCTTATCATGACAAGAATAAATGGTAGTAATATCAGCGAACAATGCCTGGAAGATCATTAATGTAAATTAAAGAGTACAAGGCCAAGGATTGAACCTTGAGGAACCCCTGAAGTTACAGAGTATAAAGAAGAGTGCTGTCCATCGAGGACAACTTTTATACTACGATTAGAAGGGAAGGATTTAATAATCTTAAAGATGTTATCTGATATAGAGTAAGAAAAAAGCTTATATTGAAGACCAGCATGCCAAACCTTATCAAAAGCTTTAGAAATGTCAAGAGCGATAGCCTTAACCTCTCCATCTTTATCTGATGTACGACAAAACCTATCGATTATTAATTTTAGCAAATTAGCTGTAGAACAACAAAATCGAAATCCATATTGATGATCAGAACATAAGTTATTAGATTCAAGATAAAAGATTAAGTGTTTGTTAATTAAAGATTCAAAAACCTTGCTTATGACAGAAGGAAGACTAATGGGAAGGTAGTTAGATGAATCAGATCACTTTCCAGAATTTTTGAAAATAGAGATAACAGATGCTGCTTTCCAGCAGGCTGGAAAAAAAGACTCTAATAAGCACTTGTTAAACAATTTTGAAAGTATAAACGACAGCTCAAGAGAATACTTGCTAGACTATAACAGGTATGTTGTCCAGACTACAAGATGTAGAAGAGTTTCACCAGGAAACCGCTTTAGATACAGAAGCTGGAGTGACATGAATGTCAATCATTAGATCAACCTGTTTGACAACAAAATCTAGTAGAACACTACTAGTGG